TTTTTTGTGTGTGTGTGTGTGTGTGTGTGTGATTTTGCCAATTGCTACATGCTCCTGCATGTAATATTCAAGTGCTGAACATTTTCATGGGCTTTTTTGGAATATTTCTAGGTTAACTAAGTTCTGTGATTTTTTCCGAGTTCCGACTAAATACGTGTTTTAACTTTTTTTGTTGTTCGATCTTGTCTTTTTGTCACCTTTAGTCTATATACATATACGATAATATGAACATGATTTTAGAAGTTGTAGTTGTCATTATTCGGTTACCATTAGTACTTTTGTCACTTTCTTATATGAATACAAGTTTGAATGATTCAGGAGTCATTAGTTGAGTAAAAATGTTGAATATATTTTCATTAAATGACCATCCTATCATCGACAAAAAGTCCCCTTTACACCCTTTTTAATGTTACCTTTCTCCACCATGGTCTGCGTGCCGCTGTCTAACCTTACCCTCCGCACAAAAACATGTCCCCTTTTTTAGCATTAGCTGCACATGGCATCAGATTATTAATGCTATATAGTATCAAGTGCATGTTCATGACCTAATTGAGGACGTATATAAAAGTGTGCGTTAAATTGATATCTGAAGAAAGTTACGTATTGTTGATCCAATCCTTCGTTTTTAAATGAACCATTTGCTCTTCGTTATGTCTAAAATCTTAATATGGAGAAATGATTTTACATAGGAACTATCAGTCAGGAAATACATCTGCAATTTTAGAGAGAAGTAACTATTACAGTGTAATACATTAGTTTCCTGATATGATATAGGCATTTTCTCATTAGTCCTTTTACCTCCTTCAGTGGTATATGCATTTGATTGTTAACCAAGTATAACTTTGGTTCAGGAGGAGTATGACACTCATGATCCTAAGGAAAATAGTTCTTTGTCATTGCCATTTCTGAAGAAGAGGTCAAAAATTATTGAGATAGTTGCTACCCGTGATATTGTCTTTGCTCTAGCGCAATCGGGTGTCTGTGCAGCATTCAGCCGAGGTGCAATGATATACCAAAAAATTATCAGCTTATGCAAATGTTTTCTTCTCAATCATTGGAAGTAGAAAAACGACTTATATGTCACCTGTTGTTTGCAGAGTCTAACCAGAGGATATGCTTCCTTAATGTCTGTCCTGATGAAGTTATCAGGAGCTTGTTTTACAACAAAAACAATGACTCGCTCATAACAGTTTCTGTTTATGCCTCAGATAACTTCAGTTCATTAAAATGCAGAACCACAAGGATCGAGTATGGAATTTTTTTAATCATGTGTTTCTAATGCTGTTCATGTTCATACTGTTCCTAAAGCTCACGTGTAAAGAACTTTTTTCAGGTACATTCGAAGCGGTAAACCCGATGCTGGATTCCCTCTGTTTGAGTCTGAGTCTTTGAAGTGGCCTGGATTTGTGGAGTTTGATGATGTGAATGGGAAGGTTCTGACTTATTCCGCACATGACGTGTATGTATTTAACAATCTCAATCTGTGAATAATTTGATGTATTTCCTTGAAATTTGATGATGCCCTAGTTTTCTTCTTTTTCAGCATATACAAGGTGTTTGACCTGAAGAACTACACCATGCTATACTCCATATCGGATAAAAACGTTCAAGATATTAAGATCAGGTTGACATGTGAATTGAGATGCTTACTGTGTGCATATTCATTTTCATTTTCTCACCCACATCTTGTTCTTGACCACATGCTTCCTTAAATAAGTTCATGTCGTAGTTCAAGTGAAATAGTTATCCTACCTCCCAGTTCTATTGCAAAAACCATCTGGAAGCTGATTAAGCTCCACAGCATTCTTGAATTGATACAATTTTTATGGTTTTGAAGTATTTTGTTTCAGTTTTCTTTTAGGGTCGTACGGAGAATGTTTGCAACTGTTCTGTAGTTTCCTGTGGAGCAGCTTTATAGACTGTGACTAGTAAACATTTTTCTATTTGGTGCTACTATCATGTATATCTAATGCGTTGAGTTCACATCCCTCAACAGCCCAGGTATCATGCTATTGATTTTTACCAAATCCCACGATAGTGTCCCGTTAAAGATCCTCTCTATTGAGGACGGTACTGTCTTAAAATCTTTTAGCCATCCCCTTCACAAAAATAAGAAGGTTGATTTCATAGAACAATTCAACGAGAAGCTTTTCGTCAAGCAAGAGAACGAGAATCTACAGATTGTCGATGTAACTCTCTCTCTCTCTCTCTCTCTCTGATGTTCATTTTCCTGTGAAATCTGATATCTTTTCTATATAGGTTCGTAATACCGAGATAACGGAAGTTAGCAGGACCGAGTTTATGACCCCGTCTGCATTCATATTTCTGTACGAGAACCAACTGTTTCTGACGTTCAGAAACCGAACTGTCGCTGTTTGGAATTTAAGAGGGGAGCTTGTGACCTCGTTCGAGGATCACCTCCTTTGGCATCCTGATTGCAATACGAACAACATATACATCACGAGCGACCAGGACCTTATCATCTCTTACTGCAAGGCAGACTCGGAAGAACCACTTTCTGATGGACATGGTACGTTTACAACATTTTTTCTACTAAGAAAAATAAATGTACACCTCTGAAGTTTGATCTAATTTCAAATTACCCAGCTACCTCTCGGAATTTGCTTCAGAAATCGGAAAGAATGTGGTTTGATGTGGCGTTATGGGGCTAAATGTGATATTTTGTAAATGTGAAAGGACTTTTTATATAATGTTCTTTGCCAAGTAAAAACTTGGGTCATTTTTCTGTAATTTAAAAGTTAGCATGGCCTTTCGTTGTTAGGTCAAAACGCCAAAGTGCCCTTAGCAATTTTGTACCCGCCCCCTTAATTTTCTTTATTCATGATTGTCAAACTTTGAGGTTGGTTCAATTAAAAGAATTCCCCTTGATGTTCAGTCTCATTACAAAATAGCTCCATTAAATTACAATGGTCGCCTTAAATGATTTCCCTCAATTACCATTAATCGAACACAAGAATCCCAATGTGGTGGTTACTGTACCTGAATGGCTATCTGTAGCATTTTCGAAAAATTACTGGCCCCTCGATGCAAATCTCGTGGTCTAACCCTTCAGACTACATTCACCATATATTCATAAATTTAAGCACTTTGACCACCTTATATACACTACACTGTTTGTCACAGCCGGTTCTATAAATATCAGCAATACCCTGACGGGCGAGTGCTTAGCCAAGATAAAGGCGAGCAATGGCACTGTGGCCGAGGCTCTTGAGGATATAACCGCACTATTCTACAATGAAGATCGTAACGAAATATACACTGGGAATAAACTCGGTCTCGTTCACGTTTGGTCCATGATGAAGACGATACCGCGATCGCGTATTTGAATAAATACGATCGACTCCGGGTTTAGTTTATTTATTTCACATTCCCTTTGCTGGCTTTATTAATTATGGTAGGAAAATAAAGGTCTTGCGGTGTTTGGCAAGATTAGGATTCTTATTTTATTTCCCTTTGGTATTTAAGCTGTATGGAACGAAATAAACAGGAGATTATTGATGAATTGAATTTTCTGATTGTTCGTTATTGAGAGAGTACCTCATATTATTCCCAATTGTACTACGCTCTACATCAGTCCAACTAAAACGGAACCAAGATGGTGCTTTTTTCGAAATTTATCTGTTCCGAGTCTCGGACTTTTCGTGTCTCGTGGTTCTTTTACTCGAACCCCCCACATCAAAGAGGGGTTGATATTCAGTGTGATGTTTTACTGTACCTTTTTTCCGAGTAATGTTGGATTGCCTTTTCGGGTGTGATCATCTTGACTGAGGCGGAGGATTGTTTCGTGTTGTAGATTTGTTGTGTCCTGTGAGTTGATGGGCGGGCCCTCAGCAGGAGCTGGTCGAACCTTTGCCGAATCGTGTAATTTGTGTCGAATTGTGTATTTTGCATTCTGAGTTAGGAAGTGATTGGTCAAACTCAAAGACTCGTTGTGGATGATTGTTATATGGATGGTTTGCGTATTTGCTTCAGGCTGTTTGTCTGGTGCATGGGTGCATTTTGGTGGTGAAGTGAATGTAATAAAACCATTTTTTTAGTACGTGTAGACTGTATATTGTAGAATGAACTTTTGGGGCTTGTTATATTTGTGGAGAATGCTACCATCCCGTTACGGGATGGTAGCATTGTGTTTTTTAGCCATAGATATACATGTAATCTAGTGATGGGTAGTTAATCCAACGCTTAAAAATACAACGGTTACGGGATGGTAGCATTCTCCTTTATTTGTTGACAGTGAATTGTATTATCTATTTTTTTAGTACGTGAAGTTAATGTAAAACCAGTGAATTGTATTATCTATTTTGACAAGATTGTTATATTATCTGTTCGTTATAAATTACACATTAGTTGTTAATATATAAAATTACTTATAGCAACGTTCAATATTTTTCTTTATGCCATAAACAAATATTTTACAAAATTCAAATTATTTATATTTTTAATATTTAGTAAAAAATAATGGAACAAAAGAAACAGAAATTATGTACATATAATCCTCCATATCAGTTTTAATGTTTTTAAAACCAAAATTCATGAGTAAATAAATAGGAGTAATATATATGATTAGGTGGCACAACTATAGAGTTCGTCTTTTTCTCTGAATAATCTGATATCACCTCCTTTTTTTTAAAAAAAAAATGTCATTTTGACGTTATCAACTATTAACAAAATAAATGTCGTTTTGGATACTTTGTACGTATTTTTTAATTATTACTCTTACCTAGCTAATAAATACACTACGTTCTTTTCTTATTCACTCTTCATTTTTTTCAAAATATTCATCTCTATCATCATTAAAGAGAGTTATTATTAGCAAAAATTGTATTCTTAGTATCTGTGCAACTTTTTAAAACGACACTTATTATAAATAGGAGGGAGTAATTAATTGCACGATGTATGACACGTGTCCCACTAAATTCATTGGTCTCACAATTTGATTAACACATTTGTGATATAGACAAATGCAATAATCGTCTTCAGAAAAATGTGGCTGGGGGCAGTTAAACTGTTTAATCGCAATTGGTTCGGAATTACCGTCTGTTAAAATGGCATAATTACGTGGTAAACTTTTTCGAACTTTTTTTCCGCCTTTTTTCTGGTGCAGTGGGCTTCATAACGTAAGTCTTATCCTTACGATTTCTCATCTTTTTTGGGTGAGGTGGGTTTCATCATTAGGGGTGGGCGCGGGCCGAGATTCGACTTGTCTCGGTATCGATCTCATTTTTATGAATCGGTCTGGGATGAGGCACCGTCTCAAATGAATCGATATCATTTGGGACCGAGACAAAACGGAACCAATATATAAACTAAACCAAAGAGTATTGATTCTATTAAAATTTACAACAAACAACCAACATATTGATTTCATAATTTCGATTAAAAAAAAATACATTGATTCAAATATTCACTTAGACCAAATTACCTAAGAGTATTTATTGATTTCATAATAAGTATCATACCAATCCATTAAATTTAAGTCACCACTCACCAACATCTAAGATCTAACATAAACATTGTGTTTAAAATCAAATTAGCAAATGCATTGTTTAAACTTTTTTTTTTTGTTCTTTTTTTGGCTTGATTGTTTAGTTTTGGCTTGGACAATTAAGCTTTTGTTTTTTTATATATTATATTACAAAATTAGAATGCTATTAGATTAAATACCAAAATAATCTATTGTTAATTATGTAATTTGTACTATAATACTAATATAAAATATAATAATAATGTATATATATATATATATATAATATTTTGTATGAAAAAAATGAAACGGGACAGTTCGGGATAAAAATATTCAAAACCGATACCGATATAATTTAAAACGGTTTGGTACCGGAAACGGAACAAAAAATAATAAGAACCTTTTGGAACCTATTTTTCCGAACAGGACCATTTTGGTCCAGTTCGTTACGGGAAAATTCAGTTTTTTTTCCACCCCTATTCATCATCATCATTTTTGAATAAAAATAATAACAATAATAATGCACTTAGATACTGACATAAAATTCAGGTCATTAAAGTAAAAATAAAAATTAAAAATATCACTATTATTATTATTATTATTATTAATTATCCCATCTTACTCTTCTTCTCTACAAATCTCACCAACAAAAATTTACAATAAAAATTGATCAGTATTATATTTTTTTTCAATCACATATTTCTAACTAGATCACTATTAATTAATATTTTATCATTCCTATACTATATCGGCTTTAATTATTACTTCCTCCTTTTTTAAATAAATGTCGTTTTGACTTTTTTGATTCATCCATTTTGCTATGTATCTAGATATATTAATGTCTAGATACATAGCAAAATGGATGAATCAAAAAAGTCAAAACGACATTTATTTAAAAAAGGAGGTAGTACATTTTATCATGTACCAAATTACAATCTCAAATCTATCAATTTTTTTCTAAAAATAGCAATTTTTTTTTTTCAATCTCATTTTTTAAAAGAATCCTTATACCCAAATCCAATGGCGGTGTACTTTCTGTTTTAAGTAAAATGGAATTGAGAAAATTACTGCTCCTACTAATGGTTTGACAAATAATATTAAAAATACGGATTGCAAAACTTTTCATCACAAATACGATTGATATTTAATATCCCAATGGAAATTCACTCTCTCTCTCTCCCACTTTTCTCTCTCTTAAGATTTAATAACCCAACGTAAATTCACTCTCTCCCACTTTCTCTCTCTTGAGATTTAATAACACCACTATCTTTCTCCCACTTTCTCTCTTATCGCAACTCCCTCTCTCTCTCTTGAACTTTATCGCAACATCTTTCTCTTTCTCACAATTAATTTAAATTGCAAGAGAATAAAATGAATCTTACGAAATTGATGTGGCTGGATTTTTTGGTGTTGGCCGGCGCACGCGGTTGGAATTTTTTTGGGGCTGGCCGAATCGTCGTGCTGGTGTGGTCGGATCGTCGTGCTGGTGTGACCGGATCGCAAGCAGACGTTGGCCGCGTGAAGAATTAGCAGCACTGTTTAATTTCAGAAATTGGATCTCAGTTTTGACCTCCCGAACGCAAGGTTGTACAAAAAAAAAAAAAAAAAAAACTTCAATTTAAAAAATTGGATGCTCCTACTCATAGAAAAAAAGCACCAATTCCGAACCCTGCCGAGATTGAGTCGGCCGACGACGATGATTTCGTGTCAATTTTATATGTTGTTTATTTTATGTATATATATATATATCGTTAGCTTTTTTTGTCATGTTATAAATATGTTGCATTTGAAAAAAGTTTATAGAGTCTTTATCTTATGTATATATATATACAATTTCTGTTCTCATGTTACTAGCTTATTGCAGAATCAAAGATGTTTATATGTTGTTTATTTTATGTATATATATATACAATTTTTGTTCTCCTATTATCAGGTAATTGCAGAATAAAAAAATATGTTTATGTGTTGCTTATCTTACGTATATATATGTACAATTAACCCAGTCATATATATATATTATGACAAGGTATGGAAGAATGATGATGATGCTATGAGTTTTTTTTT